AAGTTATAGTCATACTAGTGGGAGGGAATAAAAAATATACATGTATTGAAAAGTATCCCATCTTTTTTTTTTTCAAAACAATGAAAATACGACATTATCTTTAAATTTTGGAGAGAGAAAAGGCTGCATGTAATGGTATTTTGTTATTTTAATATAGTTTTTTTGTAAATATTAGATAAGATCAGAGGTAATTGGATATTTTTATACAGATAAATTATTATTTATATTTAAAAATAATTGTTACTTGTAGTACCAAAACAGCACCAAACACCCCGTTCTAGAAGCGGCGTCCGATGCACCTTGCCACCCCAAGCACAATGACGAGACGTGTGTGCCAAGTCAACATGCAGAGAAGCTTCGACCAGGGGTTTTCCCTGTAGCACTCCAAACTTTTAAGGTAAAATTCATACAATCATCAAGTTAAAACTGAGAAAAAAAATCTTGGGAAGTTGTTAATTAATCATTGTAATTGCATTCATATATTAACATAATGCAAATTAGTCAAGATATTGAGATTGAGAATGATCACTTTTCTTTTTCCCCTTCCTTTCTTCTTCTAATCCTTCTATTACAAAGAAAACGAGTCAAAAGATTGAAAACAACCACTTTTCTTCTTCTCTATCCTTCCTTCTAACCCTTCCTTTCCCTCTAGTAATTCTTTAGGTTTTCTCAAAGTTTTCTTTCTAAATTTTGCTTGAAATGCTCTTAGCTCATTTACTCTCACTTTTTTTTGGATTTCAAGGATGAATTTTTAAGGTTTCCTCTTAAATGTTTTTTTCTCTTTCTTCCTCTCCTTTGCCATCCATTACTCTAGGAATTCTAGAGATTTCTTTTTATTTATAATTATGTTCTTTTCTTATTTGCATCTTACCCCCTTTTACTTTAGTTATTTGCACCCTAATCCTTCATGTTTTCCTTAATTCTCTTTTAACCCTTCATATTTACTTCTATTTCCACATTGACCCCACCATTCCTTTTATTAAAACATTAACCCCACTACTTCTCTTTCTCTTTATTAACTCATTACTCTTTTATTATTATTTTTAATTTCACCTCTCCTATTAAATAATTTCTCTTTTAATCTAATTAATTTGATCATTACATATCCATTGTATTTTATTTTATTTTACTAAATTAAGATATAATTATTTTATATGAGGGTTTACATTCCCTCTCTCCATCTTTCTTCTCTCTCCTCCTAGAAAGTCATGCCACCCATTGTGATAAAAGAAGAAGAAAGTTTGGCTATTTGTTTGTCAAGTTAAATTAGGTCTCATTCTTTTAATTATAATGTTTTCTGCATTGAACCATTTACTAAGTTAATTTTTTTTCAATTTCATTCCTTTACAATTGATTTTTATATCAGATTCGATCCTCATTCTTTTAATTATAGTGTATTTGGTCTTAAATCATTTATCATGTTATTTGTTTTCAAATTCATCCCTTTGCATTTGGTTTTTATATGAGATCTGGTCCTCATTCTTTTAATTGTTATATATTTGATCTTGAATCATTTATTGAATTGATTTGTCTTTAAATTTTATCCCTTGATATTTTATTTTTATATCAAATATGATCCTTATTTTCTTATTGTTGTTTTTAGTTGTTCTTATCTTTGTTCTAAATTGAAATTGTTTTTCAATTTCATCTCCTATGATTTGATTTGATTTTTTTGTCAAATTTGGTTATCTTTCTTTTTAAATTGATATTTTTTAAATTATTATTTTTTATTTATTTTTTCAATTTTATCCTTAATTATTTTGGTTGGTTATGAATTTTATATTGTTATTTTTCAGGTTAGATTTTTATGTTATCATTCAGTCTCATAATCAGTATTATAAATTTTTAAAGGTTGGATTGAGTTAACTTTATTTATTTTTCATTATTTTAAAAAAAATTCATTCATTATCACTGAGTTAATTGAAAATTAGTATTCTTTTAATTTTACCCTTCAATTTAAGATTTTTTTTCCTCTCAATTTTTTTTTTAAAACAAGGACCTTATTCTCTTAAGTACTATTTCTTTATTCTTCAATTTTTATTTTTATTTCATAATTGACATTTTAATTATTGGGATTTGATCTCCTAAGTTTTTTCTCATTGTTTATAAGCTCTACCTAGGAGTCAATTTAGGATAATAATAAAGTCAAGGGTCAAGCAGGTTGACTCGAGTTAACATAAGCCAACCAAAATCTTTTGTTTTATAAAAAAAATCAAAATGATACCATTTTTAAAAGGAAAAAAAAAAGAAAATAGTTGATGGGTTTTTTACTAGATTTTCCTCAAGCTAACTGAAATATAGGTCAACTTGAGTTTTTAACAATCTTACACTTGATTAATTCTCCTCCAATTTATTTTGAAACTTGGCTTGGTCATAAGTCAAAATATCAGGTTGAGCCAAGTTTTAAAATAGTTTCTTTTAAAGTTTTTTTTATTCTTTTTTATTTTATCTTTTAAAATTCAATTATTTTTAAAATTAAATTTTATTTTTTTCATTCTATTTGATTATCTTGTCCGTATAATCCTACTTCCAGTAAGTTTTGACAACCTCACTTAATTTTACTAGTACTTTATTTTTAGTATTTTTTTATTAGTTTTTTTTTCTAATTTCATCATTCTATATTTTAATTTCTAAAAATTGACAATTATTATTTTTTTAGTGTTTTTTTCTATAATATCAGGTCATAGGTTTTTCTTGCTTTTTAAAATATAATGACAACACTTGAGCAAAATTTTTTTGCATTGCAAAATATTTTATTTGTCCCATAATAAAAACACTGATTATTTATCTACGACTATCCAATCTTGCATATTTTACCAATTTCACTACTATCGCTTTTCATTAAAAAACTACTACCATTATCATCAACAATCTGAATGAGATTCAAAGTCTAAGAGACCTTCAAGTCTATGTACCCTTCCCTCATATCCCAAGACCATTAAAAATTGAATCTTTCAATTCATCTTTTTAATCATATTATGATAAAAATAATTACTTTTTGTTACATTCATGACTAATTCTTACTTGGGTTTTTATCATATGATACAATTTAGAAGGCTTTGTTCAGAAACTCAGTTTAAATCTAGCCAGAGGTTATGTGTTTATATTACTTGTAGTTCTCAAGTTAATATTTTAAATTGTTGTCTCCAATTCTAAAAAATCCAACCAATAGTAGCTGTCTTTCTATGTATTATATTTTTTTATTATTATTATTTTAATTTCTTAAAATGGTCAGTTTAAGCAGAATAGTAGAAGAAACAATATTTTCTTGGTTTGATGCTTTATCTATGTGAATCTCTCTTGTAAACCAAATTTTTTCGAGTTGCTAAGATTTGCTTCCTCCTAACATTTGTTCTGAGCTGCTCTTGTGAGTGTGAACTTGTTATATGTTTTCTTGAACTCTAGATGAATTTTTTTTTTAATTCGGGTAAATAAAATAGAGTAATTTCTTGTATTATATCTTTTTTATATATAAATAATCATTTATTAGAATATATTCACCTTTTCTATCCTATTAACTAGTGTGATTTTTTTTATTTGATAGATTTTTTATTTTTATTTTATATAACAAGAACATATTATAAACTTCACCTTTATTTCTAAGCAGGTAAAGTTTTGTATATCTTTAAAAATCATCTATGAAGATCACATAATATTTCTTGCTTTCTCTAGTCATAATTTATTTTAAATCTCCTAAATTTGTATGTATTAAGCTAAGTAATTCAGTTTATGTTTTAACATATACACATATTTTTTTAGTAATTTAGCTTGAACACATATTTCATTTTTATGTATAAATGAAGAATTTAATTTAGAAATTAAACCAAAAAAAATTATTTTTTTAAATAAAATAAAGTCATGCATCCTTGACTACACCCCCCATGGAAGGAGTCAGCGACGAAGTTGCAAGGTCTCAAGTAACATAGTACCAGGATTTGGGTATTATTCTGGACAGTTTTAGGGGAGAGGGATCCCTTTTGAACCTCTTCTAGAGGAGAGCTGCAGCTATTAACTAGGTTATGCTTGTGCTATGAGATTTGGGGCATTGCTTTTGGTCTGCAATAGAATTACTGAATCCACTTGTGTGGCTATTAAAGCAGTTGTCACCATTTTAACTTAGCGTGCATATCTGGCTATATTCTTCTATTCTTCTGCTAATGAGTTGGATTGAACTTTCTAGTAGCATGATTAGCGGACGTTTTACAGAATGCAGATTTGACTATGGACTTTGAAACCACGCATCAATTTTCTTCAAAGCCTTCAAGAAATTAATTTTGGTGGCCTGTAACATGACATGGATTTCATGCTGCTGCTATTGGAATAGGATTAAACGTTCTGATATGCCATCAATGAGAAGCCATGGTTAGTTGTCCAATGAACATGATATCCGATCCTTAGAAATGGTGCTTGATGTGAAATGGGTAGGCATGATCTGAATTTGCCAAGTGAGATGCTGGAAATCTGCATTGGATTAGAGATAACCATCTTTCACGATGCTTGTTTTTTCGAAGTTGTTTGACGTACTTGCTGCTGTATAAAATGGAAGTAAATGGAATCCTTACATGTAGTGTTGGTCATTTTTAAAAAGTCTGATCACATTTACGCTTGCACTTGGAGTCAGTTGTCCTTCTGGAATCCCAAATTGGAGGGCCTGAAGTCTTTTATTCAGCTATCTCTGAAGCAGCCGAGGGGGAAAAAAAAAATGAAAGTGTTGCACCTTGTTTCATGATCGTCGCCAGAAAACAAAAGGTCTCCCAAAGCCATTTAAGAAAGAGTAGACAGATATCTAAGAATGCAACTACTCCAACCACTAAGTTCCCAACAATCGACATCAAGAACGAGGACCACAGTGGAACAACTACTAAAATGACCAGATCCCATTGGCTTAAGTGTTGCACATTACGTTTTCGGAAGAAAATTTTGGCTCAAGAACAATCCTTTTACCCCGTATTTATACTTCCTCTTCAGGATGGGTGCAAGGAAATCACTTTGATTATATGTTATTTCATTGTCATTGACCATTTCAATTCTCTTTAAAAATATCTCAGCTCCAGCCTTTCCATTCTATACCATTTCTTTCGCCATCTCGCCAACTCGCGCCACAAGTCAATCAACTGCACCGATTTTTCTTGGTCATGATCAACTTGCACATATTAGGGGCTAAGATTGTTAATGGGGTTCTGAAAGAGATAAAAGAGCAACATGTAAAGACCAGTGATCTCTGAATATTACTGTATCCGCTCACTCACTTTCCAATCTCCAGCCTGCCTACTGTTTTTGCAACCGCCATGATCTCTATGCCACCATTTCACTTGCTCTGTACCCTGATAGGGTTGTTGCTTCTTCCCTTGCATATCAATTCAGCTGATCCAGATCTCCTGCAGGACTTCTGTGTTGCAGACTTAAAAGCCCCCCTGTCTGTAAATGGCTTCCCTTGTAAACCTGAGGCAAAAGTAACTTCAGATGATTTTTTCTTTGATGGGTTAAGCAAAGAGGGAAACACAACAAACATATTTGGTTGGTCTGTCACTGCAGCAAATGTCCTTGCCTTTCCCGGCCTCAATTCTCTTGGAATTTCCATGAACCGAGTAGACTTCGCCCCCGGCGGACTGAACCCACCTCACTCACATCCTCGTGCAACTGAGACTGGTGTGGTCATTGAAGGGAAGCTACTTGTAGGATTTGTGACAACTAGCAATGTGTTTCATTCCAAAGTATTGACTGTTGGGCAGATGTTTGTTGTTCCTAAGGGTCTTGTTCACTTTCAGCTAAATGTTGGGGAAAGGAAGGCCCTCCTTTTTACAGCTTTCAACAGTCACTTGCCTGGGTCAGCCGTCGTCCCAACAACTCTCTTTGCTTCAAGACCTTCAATTCCCGATGACGTGTTAACCAAGGCCTTCCAAGTAGGCAATGATGTAATCGACAACATAAAATCCAAGTTTAGTTCTTGAGCGTTCTCGCATATTTACGAGGTGATCCTTGTGCTTGTCTCTGCTCCTTTCCCATACCCTTCACAACTAAATTATCAGATTGAGGTTATTGTTCCCATGTTCTGTTAATCCTTATTACCTTCTTTGTTTCTTTCACTTGTCCTTTCAATTTTCGTTTTTCCTTCTGCTAGGTTTTAGAGTAATAACAAAAACATGCGATGCATTTGTATATCAGTTGTCCTTCGCCACAATCACCCAATTCAAAACATGGATTTTGCACCTTAACAAGCATACTCCGACAACAAGGTAGAAGAGTTATAAATTAGAAGCACAATCCTTTTGGTACGGTTATCTGAACTCGCTCTAGGAGATTCCGTTTAGATACACATCCGTAAAGGCAAATTCAGTCAGATGATACGATGCAATTAAAGATCAGATGTATTTTCTACAAATGAGATGAGTAAACACATTTATGCACGGGGAAGCCAGTAACAAATTTCCCCTAAAGAAACTAAATAAATCTAGCTCCTTGATTACGTTGCTCTTTCGAAACTTCCACCAACCTGCATATGTAGCCATTCGGATTGGGATCCTTGAACATATTCTCTTGTTGGTTGTGGGCCAGATATCATTCCAGTAGCTACAAATGGCTGTGCCCCAAGCTACAACAAGCAATCGAGTGGTTGAACAAATCACACGACAGAGAAAACTAACAGAAATATTTACTGGTACAGCTATACTCTCCTCGTGAGAAAACAAACACTCCTTGTTTATAAAGGCAAGCCGCATTCAAACTACGTTTATATGTAAATGCTCTATGGTAATGAACATATGAATCAACTATATAAAAGCAGGAGAGCACAATCCCCACCCCACCCCTCCCTCCTTCCCCAAACAGACACCCATGGGGGGTGGGGGTGGGCTGGAATGATGAAAAACCAAACAGAAGTAATGGAGTCCCTTGACTGGATTACGAATACACCATAGAATACATTTGTTTGCTTGTTCAAAAACATGAGCAATTGTTAATATGACATGAGATTGACAGCAAGAAGCCTCTCTTGAGGTTAATATTGCTCTCACTACGAGAAACCTTTGGCTGCTTTTTGCGTGCCCATGTGTAAAACTGTCAACCTACATGCAAAACTGGGGCAACAGCTGTTGGAATTCAGTATTTCTTTAGGGCAATTTTCCTAATTGCACCAAACACAAAACTTTATTACAGATCCTGGTTCTTAGATATCAGAAATACTGAATAATACAAGATGTTAGCTTGTTCACATTCAGTGCAAGCTACCACATGTTGGGCACAGTGGAAGCATTGCCTAACAATCAGAATTCTTGGCAGCCTTTCAAAACCACTACACAGAGAGACCTTTAATTGAGATTTTAAAACAAAGCAGTTTGTCTTTAATCCGTAGGCTCTTCCCTCCTCGAAACAACAATCTTAACCAAGAGATGAAAGACAAATCAGCTAGCAAGTATTTAAAATTGCAATGGTGCAATCTGGGTCAATAGCCAAGACAAGTGCTCACCACTTAACTTTCCACCCTGGCGGTATCAATATCACATTTATTTTCTTGGTGGTCATAGTTATTACACGGGAATCAACAATAGCAAAGCAATCGTAAGAAAGATGCCAGAAACTACCCCCATACTATGATAAATAAATTATATGATGATGTATGACTCAAGTGCTCAATCAAGTTATGTCAACTTACATCTTTTGGATGAAGGTGTTCAGTCATGGGGCTAGTGTTCATCCTTGAATTTACTGCTTCTAGCTTCATTGAGAGGAACTATAAAATCAAATTAAAAAAGAATAGATCCAAGTTCAACTTCAACAGAGCATAAAGAAAACAAATGGTCTTGAAATGGCAATAAGCATTATAAGATAGGGATACTACCTCAACCTGACATTGGAGTGACTGGATATAATTAATTATCTCATCAAGGACAAGTGCTTTGCCGATAACCTAGTTACAAGAATAAAACATACATATATTGCGTTAGGAAATTATTGTGATTTAGATGACACTGAATTAGGAACTTAGGTTGACACCTCGGATACTCCATATTGTCGGTTAGGAGATAGCTAAATTACAAGGGACCCAGTATGGAACACAGCAAAGACAAGTCAACAGGTTCATCCTAAGTCTACCTAGACCCTTTCTTTAATATTGTTGTTTGAAAAAAAATTCCAGGACTAGTAAAACGACTAAGAGAAGACCAGCAAGACAATTGAGCACCTTATTACATCCAGGGACCAGATCTTGGAGTATGTTCATCCTCTCACTGATCTTTTCTCTCCGAGCCTGTCAAAAGCAAGTCTACAGTAAGCAACAGGTTTCAAAAATGATAACCATTCAAACGTCTGAAGGCTCAAACAGATAAACAAGTCCGCAACGGTCTAGCAAAATGATTTTAATTTCATATCAACCTGAATACATTTTATACGAAGAACATGAAAGTCCTGGTTCATTCTTTTTCAAATTGAGAAACGATTTAAAAATTGGCAAATTTAAGAGGGCGGAAGCAAATTACTCTCTCCGCTAAACTGTGGCTATCAGTCGCTTGGCCCCTTCTTGCTCTGACATGAATATAATCTTGCTTAGGCAGCTCTGATGGTTTACTGCTTTGTTCAGCTTTCTTGTTATTAGCAGCAGAACTTGCTTCAGTTTCAGCTCTTGAATCGTTGTTTTCACTCCTTGATCCCGATATTTTCCTCCGCTTACCATTTGAATCATTCTATCACGAATACAAAGAAAAGAAAGGTAATAGCGTGCATCATTTTCAATTCAAGGAAAAATTCATTTATATCTCCTAACCTAACATCTTAAGTCCAAAAAGGCTGAAAATTTCAATCCATAAATAACAACCCTAAACTCCATTCAAAGGTTTATAATTGCAAAGCAAGTAAATAGAAGAAAATTCAATTCCCATTTAACAGAACCCAAACTCAAAACTCAACTTTTTTCAAGAGCTATTATATTCAGTTTATACATATAAAGAGTGGCAATCTAAGAAAAAGTCCCTTTAAACATTTTCATCAGCAAAAAAAAAAAGTCAGAACATTTATCATTTCAGGCTTAAACTAACCATTCCAGCTAGAAAAAAGAAAAGAAAAAAATCCAGCCTTTCGAGAAACCAAACGAAAGGAATAAAAAGAAACTGAAGTAGAAACAAACCAAATCATTGGCGCTAGTGGTGGTAGAAACCATTTTGGACGAGTCATCCTTCTCGGAACTGAAATCTCTGGTCTTCCTAATCCTAGTTCCATTTCCACTACTCTGATCTGTCAAAGTGGATTCCTCAAGGGACCCATCTGGGTCGGCCAAATTATCCATCCGGAGGCCCAAACGAGTGGAAGAAGGAGGAGGAGGTGGGAAAGGCCAAATCTCATTTAATGTGTAGGAAGATGGGTTCGCCGCAGAGAAGGAGGTCTCGTTTATCAATGGAGGATCCATAATGGATGGGATTGGATTGGATTCACTAGAGAGAAGACAGCGTGTACCTGTGAACTATAAGTTTACGCTTCCTCAATGTCAGACTGGGAGTGAGAGCGGGTTTTTTTATTTTTTCCCCGGTGCTTCGGAGAGAGAGAGAGACTGAGCTAGAGTGATTGTTTTTTAACTATATATGCGCAGTATGCTCCCTCTGCATCTTATCCCTGTCTGCATTTATCGAGTCTTTAACCTCCTCCTCCTCCTCCTCATCATCATCATCATATTATTATTATTATTATTATTATTGTTACTGCTCTGCTAATTATTTTATTAAAAAAACTAAAAGTTTCTGAGATTTTATGCTTCCTAATCCACAGTAATTTTTTTAAAAAAAATTTTAAGTTATTTTACTTTTTTTAATTTTATCCTTGAGTTAATGTGGAATTAAAATTGGTGATTTATTTTGCTAGTTTGATAGACATCAAACTAGAATGCTAGTTAATATGGAATTAAAATTGAATTGAAAAAGTCTAGTTAATGTTGGGAAAATAGAATTTAATTTAATTTATTTAAAATAATTAAAATTTAGGGATTGTATTAGAAAATAAAGTAAATGTTCAACTTTTTTTGTTTTTGAAAAATCAATGACTAAATTTTTAACTTTTTTTTTCACTTAACTTTTTTTTTCAATTTACTCCTTTTGATATTGTTGATGTGGATTTGAATTTGATAGGATGTTTTATTTTTCTTGATTTTGAGTTTAAAAAAAAAATTATAAAATTCAATCGATGCTCGTTTAAGAAGGTAAAGTATAATTTTATTAATTTAAAATAATTAAATATTTAATGACTAAGTTTGAAATTAAAATAAATATTAACCCCTTTTTTTCCCGCAAAGCTATGGATTGAAGTGGAGAATTGGAGGTAGCGTGAGTGTGTATATATATATATATAAAGAGAGAGAGATTGGTTAATGCTAAAATTAAAAAAAAATCAATTTTATTTATTCAAAATAATTAAAGCTTTGAGGACACAATTTAAAACTAAAACAAATATTCAACCTTTTTTTTATTAAAATCAGAGATAAAATGTTCAGCCTCTTTTCAATTATTTTTCTTTGTCACCTAATTTTGTTTTTTTTAAATGACCTTTTAAGATATTATTGATATTGAATTGGACTTGATGATCTATTTTATTTGGCTTAGTTTTGGGTTTTTGTGGTGCAACAAGAAAAAAATATGAAAATATTAGATTTGACAAAATAAAATATAATTATACTGATTTGAAATAATTAAATTTTTAAGGATTAAATTTAAATTTAAAATAAATATATAACCCTTAGGAACTGAAATGAAGAATTAACTTATGTATGTCACACGCGCGCTAGCGTGTGAGGGATGCTGATGCAATATGGTGGTGCAAGTGACCTCCTTTGGGATCCAAGAACGGTCATCCTTGGTATCATCTTAATGTGTGGTCTCAGAACCCTTTTTTGTTTTTTTGTTTTTCTGTCATCTTCTTTCTCTCTTCATTTTCCGCATTGGCCTTCTTTAAAATAATACAGTGGCTTATCTGTTTTTTTAATCAAATTTAATTTTTATTTTTTAATTTTATATTTAATTATTAAATTGGTTGAATAATAAAATTTATAATTTTTTTATTTGTTTTTTATGATGTAATCTTAATTTCACCTGGATCACAGTTTAAAAAGCTAACTTAAATTGAATTTAATTATATATTTTTTAAATTTTATATTTTAATATTTAATTAATTGAGAATAATGCTTTTAATGTTTCAATTAGTTATAAATTATATATAAATTGAACCAAATCTTTTAAATATAATTATTTTTTTCTAATTTTTTTATAGGATTATCTTAGTTTTATGACTTGGGTAGCGGGCTGGGTATGTTAATCCAGAATGAGTTAGATTACTTTTTTATTTTTTAAAATGAATTTTTTAAAAAAATTATCCTTAAGTATTAGATTAATTAGTAATTAAATTTTATAATTTTTTCAATTTACTCTGTATGAGGAATATTATGTTTTCATAATTTTTATCACGATTTTAGTAAATTTATTTGAGTTGATTTGGGTAATTTTTTGTGTTTTTGTTAAAGAATTGAATATTCTTTTTAATTTTGTTTTTCAATATTAAATTACTTAAAAATTAAATTTTATAACTTATTTTAATTTATTTTTAATATGAAAATTATAATCTAATAATTTAGATTGTGAATTTTATAAGTTAACTAGAATTGATTACGATCGATATAATATATAGATTTTAATATTAAAATAATATCAACTAATTTATAAACATTTAAATATTTTTAAAAGATATTATGTAATATATATGAGATTTTAAGTTTATAATTATATTTAAAAAAAAAATATTAATCCAATTCACGGGTCACGGGCAAGAATCTAGTATAAAACTAACCATTCTTTTGCTATTATTGTGACTGCAATTATTAATATAAAATTAACCAATATTTTATTGTTGCAGGACACTGTAGCGAAGCAATGTTCATCAAAGTTAATTTACTTATACTCCACTGTATTGATTCTTTGAAATTTCAATTGATCGTTTTTGTGTTCACAAGAAATTAATTGGAATTCAAAATATAATAATATTAATTTTTAACATTTTAGCTTATTAATTTTTAACGTTTTAGCGTATAAAAATGTATTTTATTAGGTGCATTTCTATTTTCTTATTAATATAATTTTTGCTTTTGATAAAAATATCTTTTTATTAGTAGCAATTTTTTGAATAAAAATTTTAAAGCTGTTAAAATAAATATCCATAAGAACTTTAATCAAGAAAAAATGTATATATTCAATCAAAACTCACTTAATTGCTTTCTTTTTTTGTTTTGATCATCATGTTTTTTCATATATGAGAATAATAGTTTTTAAAAATAAACTCACATATCTAAAAAAGAAGTTTTAATTAAAAAAATCAAGAGCTCATAATTTATAAGTGATAAAAATAATAAAAAAAATCATTTAAACATTTATAGTAAAAATAGATATTTTATTCTCATTTAATATTCATGTACATATTGTTTTTTACGTAAACTTTGCATACTGGAAATGATAAACTTATTTTTTTTACAATGACTTTACCATATAGTAAAAATGTTTACCTGATTACATGATTTTTTAACAATGACACTTCGTGTTGTTTCATTTATATATAAATGTTTACATGATTTTTTTTACTATATGGTAAAAGATAAACTTATTTGAAAAAAATATGGTAAAATGGGATAATATTTTATATATAATTTTTTTTTATATTTTTTTAGTTATTCTTATTCATAATTAAAATTAACAAGAAATTTAAAAAAATGAATGGTAACATTATCCGTCCTGGTATATGGTGCATCATTATCTGTATTATAAATCAAAAAACATATAAATTTTAATTAAATATATTAAGAATCATTTGTGTAGATACATGTAAAAAAAAGTGTTAATATGTTTATTTTTTTTATTACAAAAGAATTAATGTGTCTATGTTATTAGTGTGTTTATTTACATCGAATAAAAAATATAATTGTGAATTAAAAAGTCGATACTTATATATAATAAAAATTATATGTATTAATAAAAATATGTAAGATCTTAAATTAATTTTTAATATAGTAAAAAAATAAAATAATATTGCAATTGCTACAGTGAAACAACATTTTCTTAGTATTTGTATAATAAGTTTTTAAAAAAATATAAAGAAAAAATTACAAAAAGAGTAAAGATAAGAAAAAAAAAAGATATAAATAGACCAAGTTTAGAGTGATAAATATTTAAAGTGTAAAAAATAAAAAAAATAATATTTTTTCCAAAAGAAAGTAAAGAAAAAAATGAAATATTACAAAAATATTACAAAACAAATAAAGATAAGAAAAAAAAAGGTGATAAGTAGATCGAGTGTAATATGATAAAAATATTAAATATAAAGAGAAAATAAAATATAAAAAAGCTTATTTTCTATAAAAATAAACCAAAAATTACAATTCTACTATCGTTATAGTAAAAACAATTGGAAAAATTTATAATTATATTATTTCTATAGGAAAACACTATTTTATTTTAATATATATATATATATATATTATTTTCAATAAAATATCGGTTGAATGAAGTTTACCAAATAGGTAGTCAATCTGAAATTGGATTCACTATTGACTATCCTACTAATTACTTGTAACTAGTGTTATAAAATCTATAATTATATATATTTAATATAGTTTAGAATTTTTTAGACTTTATAACTCTTGGTTTAGCCTCTTAATTTTTCATGATATCTAAATTTCTTAGTATTCTTATTTTTTCTTCTATAAATAACAAACTACTTCATTTTTTTTTTAAATATTAAATATATATATATATATAAGAAAATATATGAATTTCTCTTTTAAGTTTTATTTTGAATGTGCATATTCTTACTTGTTTTTTATTTTTTATATGTTATTAACACAATCACTTTACTTAATTTATATTAAAATCTTTGCATACATGAACTTCAATGTTACGTGGCCTGTATTAATTTTGTATTATTATTATTTATACATTGTGGAATATATTTGATTTTATAACTTATTTTGACAAATTTTTATTTCTTTTTATTCATCAAAATTTAAAGTTTCTAAATAACTGGTATTGTAAGTTCATAAAAAATCAAATAAATCAAATACAGTTCTTAAAGAATTAGTATTCTTAAAAAACTAAATAAATAGCATTCTTAAAAGACTAATTTTTTTTATATTCGTGATTTTATTTAATAAGTTGTTTTCTTTTTATATATATAATATCGAATACGAAAAAACTTGAATTTACCACTTTTGATGCATCTGAAAATAATTTTTTCATCATAGATCCCCGATATTGAGATTCATCTGGAAGTTATGAATCTTGGAGAGACCATCAAAGAAGAAAAAAATGTATCGTTGCAGGATCAAGTAAAAATAATGATCTTTGTTCGCCACCATCTCCATAAATGATTAAAAGTTGAATATTTCACAATAAAAGATCCTTATATTCTGTGGTAAAATCTAAAAGAAAGATATGACCATTAAAAGTTTATCATATTTTCTTAAGTTCGTTATGATTAGTTGCATTTGAGGTTGCGAGATTTTAAACTGATTAGTGAATATAATTAAGCTCTTTTTACAATTACCTCATAGCTGAAATTGTGTGGTGAAAATATCATAGAATACTAAATGTTAGAGA